CATAGGTGGACTTCTTACAGAGTATTCCTTAATTTTCAACGAACTGACCACTTCCTGGCTCCGGCTTGTCACCACAAGCTCTGATTAATCTTTAAATGCTGCTAAAACTCCTACTTAAAAGAATTTAAGTTGGCATTTATGTGTGAATAAATTTAAGTACTTCAGTGGTTTGGGCTGCGCGTCCTACTAGCAAAGCCCAAACACGAATCTAAAGGCAGGTACAAGACCTAAACTCCTTCGTGGTATTGGGATATATCATTTTGCCCTAATCAGGATTTTGACTTGATAAAATACGAAGAAACGGATGGCTAATGGTCAAAATATTCCTGTTGAGAGACGATGGACAAACAGGCAGCCGTCTGAATAAATGGTAACTATGTGAAGTAAACCCAAAACTGGTCATAATCGGATGGTTTTAACGCAAATGGCCAAATATGGGACACCAGAGGAGACTTGGCCCCATGAGGATTCCTATTCCCAGGGATTGGTGACTTTGCCATCTGTATAATATTGCGGTAAGTAACATGACCCATCGCAGGTAGTCTTCTGTGGCCCCCAGAACCCTGTAAGGAGGGTGTTATTGTGTGTGTACGCTGATCTCGCCAACGGGGCTTACCAAGACCTGGGCGAGAGACTTGTCATCTGCACTATTTACCTCGACTAGTTCTAAAAAAGTGTCAGATATTGAATTTTTTGCTGTCGACATAAATCAAGCTACTAGTTTCAGGGACAGGTTTAATCAAAGGAGTCGGCTATCAATATGGCTCCGTCGGAATAGAAGTTTAACCAAGCTGAACTGTCATTGCTGAAGGTTAGATGTAACCGTTGTCTTGCTTGTCCCATTGAGTTACTTCCTCAGCTGAAGACCGGTAGGGCAGTTTATTGCGGATACGAGATAAAACCCCTCCGGAAGTAAAGGCAAATAATATGGCCGGCAAAGACAAGGGAGGCTAGAATTGCCATTTCTGGCTTATTAGACGTCGTCAGACAGTCATACCCAGACCTAAGTGATATATCACTCTAGCCTCGAACTCGCGACCCTTCTGATCAGAGTCAAACGCCCTAGCCAGTGTGCCACGAGCTCGTTTTCCTACCGAAATAGTCGGTTGAACTTTCATCAACGAGTGTCAATATCCCGCGACATAATCCAGCAAGACAACGAGCTCGTGGCTAAAAGGACTAACAGGTAAGTCATCAGCACTTCCTCGAACCGAAGTCTATCAGTGCGTCACAATCTGTCATGCTCTGTCACCGCAGGGTATTCGTACACCGATCTACTGCCTGTTTGAAGCAAAAAACTCCATATGGGCCGCAAAGTTCACGAACAGACAACCAACTACCGGGCCGAAGTCGACCAAGTTACCACTGCATGCCAGAAAATGCAGGTAGATTAACAGAGCCTCTTTCGGGCTTATTCGACCAACCATAAATCTGACGACCAGCTGGGACTGTAAGCACAAAAGTATGACAAAAACTGCTTAGAGAACCCAGGGGAGACGCACTGATTAGCCGAACCCCTCACAGTTACCTCATCCAGTGTCACAAGATCGGCGATACACGCGTGTCTGGGCTCCTAGTTGATACCTGTACTGCCGGCATTTTAAATACTCAAGTCTTTGTTAGTTAAGATGTCCTACCAACAAACGGTGGAAACTGGATTTCTCCCTTTTTCTTTATTCCGATCTACGGACGAGCTATGTCTGGGATAACTAACACGCTT